TGTTAAAAAAATAACAATAATCCAGATCTCCACCAGGGGGAAGCAAAACCTCTCCTTCCGCTGCCCTCTAGTGGTTCCCAAGGTTATTGCAGCCAAGGTGCTAAATTTGAACGTTAAATTTAACTCTGTGTTAAAAAAATAACAATAATCCAGATCTCCACCAGGGGGAAGCAAAACCTCCCCTTTCCGCTGCCCTCTAGTGGTTCCCACGGTTATTGCAGCCAAGGTGCTAAATTTGAGCGTTAAAATTTAACTCTGTGTTAAAAAAATAATAACAATAATCCAGATCTCCACCAGGGGGAAGCAAAACCTCTCCTTTGACTGCCCTCTAGTGGTTCCCAAGGTTATTGCAGCCAAGGTGCTAAATTTGAGCGTTAAATTTAACTCTGTGTTAAAAAAATAATAACAATAATCCAGATCTCCACCAGAGGGAAGCAAAACCTCCCCTTCCACTGCCCTCTAGTGGTTCCCAAGGTTATTGCAGCCAAGGTGCTAAATTTGAGCGTTAAAATTTAACTCTGTGTTCAAAAAATAATAACAATAATCCAGATCTCCACCAGGGGAAGCAAAACCTCCCCTTTGACTGCCCTCTAGTGGTTCCCAAGGTTATTGCAGCCAAGGTGATAAATTTGAACGTTAAATTTAACTGTGTTAAAAAAATAATAACAATAATCCGGATCTCCACCAGGGGGAAGCAAAACCTCCCCTTCCACTGCCCTCTAGTGGTTCCCACGGTTATTGCAACCCCAACATGATCATTCCTGCTTCTTGGTTTGCCGCTGGCATTTTGCAGCTGGGATGACCCCTGGCTTGATCTGGGGAGGAGTGGGGTGGGCACGGCAACCTTACCTTCTCTCTGCTGGGGGGGCGCCTGCTGGGTGATGATGGCAGCGGGCTGCTGGGGAAAGGCGGTGCTGACGAGTCCGTAGGCTGTTGGATAGGCAGCTGTGGGGGGAAGCCGTGGGGGTCAGCTTTTGGAGCGGGGAGGGGGGTGTCTCCAGAGCTGGAGGGGGTGGGGGAGGAAATGGCGTACCTGCATGGATACCCGTCCTCACCTGTGTAATGTTGCATCCCAGCGTAAGCCTGTTGTAAGGGATCCACGGGGGCGGCCGAGCTCTGTGCTGTGGCATTGGGGGTGGGGGGAGACGGGAAGACAACGCACACTTAAAGAGAGTTGTGGTGGGCTCCACTCATCCCAGCACGCCCTCCCCCCCCCACCGCCCCCACCAGGAAGAATCATCCATGTGCCTTTGTGGCCCCCGTGAGCTTCGCTTTTCTCAAAGCCCCGCTTCTGAGCGTCCGAGGTAGACTGCTTCGGAACAGGGAGGCTCAAATAGGCTCGAGGTTTTAGACTAGGCCTCTCTTCCGAAACGGGCAATGTTTTCTTCGCTAAGATTATCCTCAATCGGCTTAAAAAGCTCTTCTTTTGAGCTTCAAGGACCTGAACTCGGGACCGGGGGGGGGGGGGCTTAATCCTGGTGAAAAGAGAGCCTTCCTTTAATCCGGGGTTAAAACGATTACAATGGGTTTTCTGAACTTCAGCCCCTTGAACTACAACTCCCAGAATTCCATAGCGTGCATGTCATTCAGGCGCGGAATTCTGGGAGTTGAAGTCCACTCGTTTCAAAGCAGGCTCCCTGGGGAAATCTGGGACTTGTAGTCCATGCATCTTGAAACCCTGGCTGGGGAATTCTGGGAGTTGAAGTCCATGCATCATAAAGCACCCTGTCTGGGGGGCTTCTGGGACTTGGAGTCCATGCATCTTGAAACACTCAGGCTGGGGAATTCTGGGAGTTGCGTGCCAGGCACGCTACGGATTAAAGGAAGGTTTCGAAGCACATCGGCTGAGGAATTCTGGGAGTTGAAGTCCGGGCATCATAAAGCCCCTCTGGCTGGGGGCTTCTGGGACTTGTAGTTCTTACATCCTGCAACACCCTGGCTAGGGAATTCTGGGAGTTGAAGTCCACGTGTCTCAAAGCCTGCTCCCTGGGGAATGCTGGGATTCGTAGTCCATGCATCACAAAGCACCCTGTCTGGGGGCTGCTTCTGGGACTTGTAGTCCATGCATCTTGAAACACTCAGGCTGGGGAATTCTGGGAATTGAAGCTCTTGGGAATGGCGACACCCCCTTCCCACCCAACCCCCAGACCACAGGCAGGATAAGCAAACTCTCTTTATTTTGTCCTCTCCCTGCCTCGGGGAGGACCCCAACGAGGCTCTGGGTTCAGGTTCTACCCCTCACCGCCATCCAACCCTACGGGCGGAAGGGAAATCTAACTCACTCGGGCTAAAACCGGAGGAGACTCTGGGAAGCCAGAGCAAAAGGTGGGAAGGAGAAGGAGGACGGGCCGGAGGGGTGGAGGGCGGGGGGCAGAGGTACCTGGGAAGGGGTGGACGCCGTTGGTATAGAGCCCCTCGGAGGACGGCTGCCCCGTGCTCTGTGTAGGGACGGGGCTGTAGCCGTTGACGCTGAGTGTGGCTGGGATGGCAGAGACTGGCGTGGCTGCCAGGGTGGGCGGCGTGCTGCTTCCTGTAGGGAGGGGTGAGAAACAGAGGGAGACCCCCACGTGTGAGCTGCAGTGGGGGGGGGCTCTCTCCCGCAGCCCCCAACCCTAACCCAGGTCTGCAACACATTCCTGCACCGCGCCCCCCCCTTTACGGCATTCAAGGCACCCAATTTCCAGACTCCCACCCACTTCGCCGGGAGGGAGGGTTGGGGAGGGGTCCATTGGGGCCCCCCGGGGGAGCAAAGGACCCCATTTAGAAGCTGCGGAGGGAGGAGGGGGCTTGTTCTTTGGAGCCTGGGGGATGGAGCCCCCCCCCCGCTCTAGGACAAGGGGAGGGGGAGTCTCTGCCCTCCTTACCTGAGGAGGGGGTGATGGGCGTGGCGATGAGCCCGTTGGGGGCCAGGGTGGCCATCTGCTGCATCTGGACGGCTGCCATGGGGTTGAGGTAGGCCGAGTGGGCGGCGACGAGGGCGGCTTGCTGGTGCATGAGCTGTGAGGAGGGGGGGAGGCAGAGGAAGCCCTGAAGCCTCAAAGACCCCTCCCCCATTTCCTCACTCCCCCCACCCCCACCCTCCTTGGACCCCCACCCCACCCCAGAGCCGAGCCGAGCCAAGCTCGGAAACCTCCCCCCCACTTGTGTTTCTGCCCTGCCCCACCCTCGG